ACACACACACACACACACACACACACCACACATACATACGTAAAGAAGCATTTTGGAAGTGGAAACATATAGCCTATACGTTACTGAGAATAAAGAATAAATTCATCTTAAGACTTTATAGCATCATGTATGTTGTATTACTGCATTATAGCTGTTTTTTGCTATTTAAATCTTGTTTTGGTAACAGATTCTTGGAGGGTGTGTGTTTGAAGCCCGCCAAGCTCACTGTTAGACCTTCCTTAGATTGTTAAACAATAAACACAGCAATAAAGTGTCTATAGAGTGTCTATAGAGCTTGTGTCAGCTTGTGTTTGTATTTAATTCATTTAATTGAATTATTGAATCGTAGTTCAACTGAAACAGCAAAGAAACCTTTTTTTCTTACAACTTATTCCACCAGGTGGCGGTAAATACCCATTCAGTCACATTCCTGAAGTCCTGAAAGTGACTTTGCTCCACTGTATTTATACATAAAATACATTTATGTTAAGTAATATAATGCATAACTAATATAGTACATTTATTTATCATGTCACTATGTGCAGTATAGGCAGGCTGGATATCAAATACGTGTAATGCTCTTTTATTCACTTTAACAAATCTCTAAAAGTGGTTACGTTTTCATAACAGCATATGTTATCTCTATTACTTCAGTGTTTTATTTTTAGGCACATAAACTATTCATTTAATGATTAATTAACTTGCAACTATCTTTATGTAACTGCACAAACTCTGTCTGACATGAAAGGCAGCAAATTGAAGATAAAAGCTCGAGAGAAAAAAGCACACTTGTGGACCTTAAGGTTACAATTGTTACACATATAGTTTATGGGGTGGACTTTGTTGTAAAGGCTCAGGTTTATTATTCTGCCAGCATATGAACAAGGGGGTGCTTATTAAAGTATATGTATTTAAAGGTTTTAGTTTATACATTTATTCATTAGTTTTATTTGTAAGAAGCAATGTACAAAAACACTGGAAGAGAAAAACAAACAAAACAAACACATATCTAACATGCAAGTAATAATAAAAGAATCTTTGCATTATTAAGCATACAATAGCAATAGTACTTTATTATTTCTAAAATATAAAAAAGAGATTATTAGACTGAACTTACAGCACTGTGCAAAAGTCTCTTCCCACTCCTTTCTTTTGCTTCCAAGGAGCCAGACTTCCATGTAATATTTTAAAGTGAGCAGCAGTTCTCCAGGCTTTCTGAAATTATTTCACAATTTTTCTTTAGACATTGGCTGCTTTTTCTTTAATTTTCAGTCCATTCCTTGTACCAGAGCATTTTTTACATTTTCTACTGTTTGTGAAGCCATTCAAGTATAAAAAAAAGCCACACAACTCAGGGGAAAAACCAGTCTTGCACAATAGTGTAATATTGCCAAAACCAAATTTGAAATCTATTTTTAGTCACTTTGTTACTAGCAGAATGTTGTAAAAACACATTTGGTTATACAAAAAAAGTGAAACATAACATAGTTTGCCACAAATAAAATGTTTTTGCGCTAGCAAGGTGCCTCCTAAAGAGAAATAAGCCCAAGTGTGTTTTTGCCTTACATACTGTACTTACTTTTACGTTTACACATTTGTGCGTAAATCGCTGCACCTATTTCCTATCGTTTATCTATCTATATATATAAAACATACTTGACAGTGGATTATTACTGTTATAAGTAGATAAAGAAATCAGCCACAGATGCGTTTTAAGCTGTCTCTGCTAGTCTACAGCTGTCTGCAAGGCGGGGTCAGTATTTGGCAGCTGTCTCGTGCTGCGCTCACAGTAAAGGAGGCGGGGCCAGTATTTGGCAGGTTCGTCCCTGGAGGGTGTGTGTGTGTATGTGTGCGAGTCTCTCCAAGCAACGACCTGCGAACGGGCATCCGAGCCAGTCTGAGCAAAAAAACAGGAACCACATTAATTTCGAGTGTCTTTGCAATGTTCCCGACGATATTTCTACATTATTTGCTTTGATCTCGTCAAAGTTACCGTCTCACCAGAAGTCGGCTTCAGAAACGAAACAAGAAATTAATGCATCTCGCCTCGCTTTCCTGTTTGTTTTGACCTGGTAAGGTACCCCGGAGCGTCTGATTAGCTTTCCTTGCTAACAGCTCTTCTTCTGGTTCTCTCAGCATCTTAAACGCTAACTAATGCTAGCCTGCTAAGCTAACTCTGTCTGACCATTTCTATTATGTGTTTATATCATTTTTTTCTCATGTATACCTGATATGATATATCTGCTCTATATGTGTCTTTACGTAGAGGCTAATATTAAAGCGCACAGCGGGGCTTAAAACCGTTTGCGACTACATTTGTGGTCACTGTGAGCTAGTGGCTAACGGATAGCACCGAATAGCAGTTCCATCACATCTGTGGCTCCTCCGCAGGCACGGCAAGCTAATTCGGAGGCAGAAAAAGAAACTCCTAAATAATTGAGTGTTTAAGGCTTTTATCAGTACCGCAAGATTAAAAAAAAACACTCAATTGGTTTTTAAAAAAAAAAGTTTTGTGTACATTTGACAATATATATAAATTATGGAGTTGTGTGATATTGCTTGTGCATCAAGAATATGAGACGCAGTAGGTAGGATAGTTTAAAATCATCCGGTTATGACGGGTTTTTATACAGGATTATACGGAAACCGTTTTGAAATCTGTGTTCCTGGAATTCGTGTTCTCCCGAGTTGTAGATGGTTTCGTTTTCTGTTCTGTTTATTTCTGGAAAGCTTCATCACTGACACAGATGCTTCCTGCTCGGATGCATTTAACTGTGTGTGCTGGAATGTTCGCCAATGCTTAGGTTCACATGATTTGATACGAAGCTGTGCTGATCCAGATGAGGATATGTATATGTGCAATAATTGCGTCAGCAATGGCGTTACATTGAAATGAGAGGCTGACGTTTATTTCTGAGCTTTTTGAAGTCTTGGTGATTGCATAATGGCATCCGGCAACATGTCAAGAAGCATGACGGGTTGGTCTTCATACGCTGTACAGTGTGCATAAGTAAAAGAACTTCCATGTGTATGAAAACTAGACTGTGATTCACAAATATTCATAAATATTTGGCCAATTTAGGTCATAAATGAGGCATTAGTTAAGAGGAATTTACCAGTATATCCAGGTATGTTGTTAGTAATATTATTTCTGTGCCTACCATATAGGTTCCAAGTAATTTTTTCACTTTATGACTTGTAGGAGTTAATTCTATAAAACCCTTTTAGTTTGAATACATTTCAAACTACAGCGCACCTAAATAATACACATTCACAATTATTAGTTATACCTCTTAAAGTGCTCATTAACACAAATACCTAATTAGGAAGTCACGTGGCAGCAACTCAATGGATTCAGGCATGCAGACTTTGTCAAGTCAACCCGCTGAAGTTTAAACTTAGCATCAGAATGAGGAAGAAAAGTGGTTTCAATAACTTTGAACTTGGTTTGACTGTTGGTGCCAGATGGGCTAGTCTGAGTATTTTCCTACACACCTCTCTGTACTATGCACAAGTAAAACAAGTGCTCTCACAATCTAGTTTGAAGTTCAGTCTGGTCTGGAAAAGGGAAAATATCAAGTGAGCAAAAGCTCTTTGGATAAAAAGCCTTGTTTGTGCCAGAGGTCAGAGAAGAAAGCTGCTTTGAGTTGACAGGCAATCAACAGGGGCTTGAATATCAGCAGTTGGGCTCAACTGTCTTAAAACTGTGTTTAAATGGTACATAATAAATTCAAAATAAAATGTTTGCTGCAATGCTACCTTTGCCCCTGTTTTTAAATAAAGTCAATATATAGCAAGTCTTTGTTGTAAAGCTTTGATACAAACTCCATTTGGACTTGTCAGGATAAACAGTGTTTTAGCCTTGAGGAATTACCCAGTATGCTGTTAAGCGGCATAATTGTGTAAATATGAAGTTATTAATTAAATAGTTTGTTTGACAACTTGTGTCCTAGGATTGTTCCCAGTTGAAGAGATTTGCAGATTTGTAATGGCTGTCCTTATAATGTGTATGATTCATAGGACAGGAACTATGAGTGAGAAGACTCTACAGTCATAAAAGCCCCCTTCTCATGCGCTTCAGCAGTATCCATGGCAGTAATAAGATAAATAATAATATAAGCTATTTGAAAGGACACGGTGGGCGTTGTATCTTTTAACTGGTACAGCATTTATGAAAGACTGGTACACTGCTCAGCACTGCGTAATTTGCAGTCATAAATACCATTTATGACTTCGAGATTTTTAATTGTAATAAAAAGCTTCGTTTTATTTTGGTAGTAAATGATACATTTCTGTTGTTTGTCAGACGAAACAAGTTAACTAGATTTCAAATTATGCTATGAAAAGCTTTTTATGAAATTTACATTAGAAAATATATGTGATTAAGTTGATTGGGAATTAAAATGAGTTGTTCTGTGACATCATCAGCTAACCAAATGATGGGGATGGCATTTTGATAACTAGAGATATACTAATATATCAACAGAACATTTGCATTGGTCTTGATCAGTTGCAGAAGTCAATGTTATCAATTTTATAATGGGTAAATATATATCAGGATTGTTACAAAGGGCTGAAAGACTTGTAACAGTTATGTTACAAGCTGTCCAGACGATAGATTATATGTTATTTATGTCACAAAACTGTCCTGGCAGTAATTTAATACAGAAGCAACCTCTGATTTGTTTCCAATCTGTTCTGATTGGATAATCTATATTGTGTTGAGCTCTTCAGATATAAAATAAGAATTATTTTTATCTACTTTAGTCTTAGGCCTTCTCAGTACAGTATAACCTGTTACCAAAACACTAGTGTCTAAGAAACAACAGGTGGATCTATACAGGTCAGTGGAAAAAATGAAAAGTAGTTGTAAAGTCAGCTGCTGTAAAAACACCTTGGATTTAATCTGACAGTACTTTACAATCTAAAGTGGTCTTATACAACAGTCCTCCAATACAGTCTACCTTAATAAAGGTTATAATTGTCCATGTTTGATGAAACTGTTTAAGCAAAGTGTTGATTCAGCTTTATGGTCATTCTAGAGTTGAGTTCTGGAGTTGTTGGTGTAAATGAGCTAGATAATGGGAGCGCAAACATCTCTCTAATAAAAGCTGATCAGTATGATTTTATTGTGATTGATTTGAAATGGGCTGCATTAACTTTAACTTAATGTGGAACTGCAGTTAAAATCTATTTAAAATTTTTATTACTTCTCCAGTGATTTTATCAATTTTATCAATTTTAATAACCGGTTTCCTCTCACAGTGCATATACATGCATGTTAGGTTAACTGGTGATTCTAAATTGGCTATAAGTGTGTATGTGAGTATGAAGGGATGACTTTCCATTTATGCTAGACCTGCAAAAGACAGGCCGCCTGCCTAGGGAGTACTTTACCTCTCACTACATGAAAACTGTTCCAGCCCTAAGTTGGGTAAGATGGATGGATGAAGCTGTACATTTTCCAAAAATGGTGACAATGGCTCTTACTCTTAGAGGCTCTTAGAGTGGAGTGTAACATATTAAGCCCTAAATACAGGAGAAAAAGCAGTAATTTGTCATATTGTGACAGGAATCGGTATGATTTTCAAATATTCAAGTTGTCATCCACTAATAAGAATGAGTAGTGACTGGGTGGTGGCGTAGCTCACTGGGTTGAGTAGAGGATCCATATGCCACATTCAAGAATAATTGGATAAGTTAGTATTTTTTTTTTCATGAGATGCCTAGATGTTAACAGCTGGAAATTTAATAATTACAGTAATTATTTTACCTCTAGTCACCTACTATACCTACTTATAACTAACTATTAATACTGAAATCAAATAAAAATTAAATTCTCATTAAGTGTACTTAAACTGAACCTGCAGCCCTTTATGTGGAGTCTCTCACGTATGCACATACCAACAGAGTCAGAAATCTCCAGCCTCCTACAGTGTCAGATAAGACATACATGTAAGACGACCCATAGTTTTTATATGGAAGGAAAAACACACACACACACACACAGCAGTGTCAAAATCACGCAGCTGCCTGGAGTGTGAAACTATTGTTGCCTAGTCATTGAATGTTTTTTTTTGTTGTTGTTTTTTAAATGCTGTGTATAGGGCCCCAAGCCAAACTAAATATGCCCCAAAGTTTGCTAAAGCTGGAGCAATACCAGAAAGCTACAAAATTAAATCTCATTTGGTTTATGTTAGCACGTATATAGCAAATATGCTTTGTAACTTATAACTAGTAGAATTGGTGAAAACACCATTTGTATGTTTGTATGTCATGTGTAAGCACAAGGCTAAGTACTCAGTGATGGACAACAACAAACTCCCATGAAAAGGAGTAGCAATATCAAAGTATGTAGCTACAAGCTGAGGAAATCCAAAGCACTGCCTTCTGTTGTAAATTAAACCAAAACTGCCCGAAGGCAGTGTCATGCTGTGTGTCACTGACCTGGCTCAAAGACTGTGTAAATGGAGATGGTTCACTGGGTGGCTATAGAAACGAAAGCTTCTACATGAGGGAAAAAACCCTCATAGAAGCTTTTTCCCTCATATTCTGTCATTTACCTTGAATAACAAAGAATATCAGAACTTTAACTGTAGAGTAGGGCTGCACGATTTTGCATAAAATGAGAATCATGATTTTTTGGCTTAGATTTGAGGTCACGATTCTCTCACGATTTTCTTTTCCAATATAAATATTTATTGCGCTTATTAACAACTGCACATCAACTTCGTAACAGTTGAGACTGAACATAAAAACAATAAATAAACATAAAAACAACAAATGTCTCACGTTTTGTGGTTGCCGCAAAATGTTGTACTGCTTGAAATTCCGTCTCCACCGTTGCTCGACGCTGCGTGTATAGAGCAGGTAGTGCAACAATAGAAAAATAGTTGCGGGACGGCACCGTGTAGCGTTTGTCTAGGGTGTTGATCATTTTCCTAAATCCCTCGTTTTGCACAGTGTTGATGGGAGCCATATCTTTGGTCAGGTGATAAGTAATAGCCTCCGTAATTTCTTTGTGCCTGCGGGAGTTCGACGGGTATAGGGAAGCGCTGTATAAGGTTCCCGT